AATTTATTTTCTAGCTGCAGAGGGTAAGTGACCGGTGATTCAGCAGCAATGTCTCGTGAACTCTGTTCCGAGAATAACGGAAAATATAATTAGAAATACACCATAGCTTAATACACATAGAGTTGACAATTGAATGTAGATAATATGATCTAGGATGTTACGTTCTGTCAACGCCAGGTCTATATCGGTAGCCGGGACAGCCCTCCCCCCTTCTCGGATGGACGTCGCGTACTATTTATTCCGCGCCCCCTACTTTTAGCGACTCATTGAGTAAATCTGTAGGGAAATCATAACTCGTCGCTTGCCCATCGACTGCTCGTTTGACTTGTCGCGCGTATGAGTTAAAATACGACTTCGGATAGAGGAATTAATGGCGACGTAGCGTAGATTAATTAAATACGCACTTTTTTTTCTTAAATTAGAATAGCGGCCAGTAATAGAGCCTCGAAACCTTTGACTACTAAACAGCCGCTGTTTAACTCCTGTCCGACAATGTTTACAAGATTGTCTTCTTTTAAAACACTATCAGTATATTGTAAGTATCGGATAACACACGTTAATGGCAGACAGACCGGTGTGGTAAGACGATACAGACGCGCCTCAGCGATCTCCATTATCGGATGACTTGTTTGACAGCTGTTTGACAACAGTTTGACAGCAGTTTGACAGCGAACTCGCAGACGATAGCGGCAAAGTGCCTTATACTCGAAAGCTTTATATCTCTAGTTTTTATGTTTTAAAATTAGAAGAGTTAAACGCTGATAACCTTTTGAGTGTCATGGCCACAAAATGACAGGGGACATCAACACTCTGTTAAAGATAATTTTTAAAGCTAAGCAATATTTTTTTCAAATTAATTTATTGGTAATAGTTGATTAAATATCACTACATCTGAATACTAAAATTACTTCGTTTGTTTCTACATACTACGTAGATATTCAACCATGGAATTTAAGACCATTATGTTATTACTCTCGGCTAAGCGGTGCGGGCGCGTGTCCACACAATGGAGCCTTCCACGAAGGAGCCCTACCTGTCAGCCGTAGTAACGGTACAGCCTATTCAACCCCCAACCCTCCGCCTATTCAACTCAAGTGATTTCATGAACTCACAATACTAACTACGTCAACTTGAGTACGGAACAATGATGTTAAAATAATTAAACAAATGGATGGGAAAGAAATCATGAGTGATTGGTGTTACCTGATATTGTGACTCGAACTCAGTAATATTAATAATTTTATTGTATAATCTCTTAACTCTTATAATCATCTGTGAATAATCCGATAATATCTGTAATTCTAATCGATTGTACAACGTATTAAGAATGAAGGCTTCAATTTGTAATCCGAAGAATAAGCTGTAGAATTTGTTCGAGTTTTATACAATTTTTTTTTATGTCATAAGGTAGCAAACGCGCAAGTCGTGCGAAAATGTCAAAGCGGGCTCCACTGTTTTTAGGCGTTTATCACAAATACAGCAAACCGTACGACTAAAACACACTAACTAATATTAAACTAGATTCATAGTAGTTTACAAGATAACATCTGAATACGTCAAAGCTCTATATTTGAGGAATATCAGTGTTTTCCAGTAAAAATAGAGAAAAGATTGATGATGGATCTTGTACGCGTGTCCGGTTTGTCTCCCGCGCTCGATATAAATAATGCGAGTGCGCGTGCTGTAGGGGATCACATGCACCGTTACTGATGCTCAACTTATACACGTATATCCTAGATAATATGGACAAGAAGGAAGTCAATCTAAACGTAGAATCTCACTGCATGAATCTTTAAACATCATCCTTTCATCCTTCGATAAAAAGGAGACTAAATGCAGTAAAATCTAACTATTAGTTTCATAACATGAGTTTACTATTCTGTGAAAGTATTTTAAAACTATACTTTTTTTAATATATCATATGCATGTGTCCTTGAATTCGATCTTACGTTATACGCCATTGACCGACAATTTATTGAACTATAATTTCCGTTCAATATATTCATACTGCAAGATTACAACACGACCTTTGAACTTGAATATTTATATTACAATGTGTGATTTCTCATTTGTTAAAAAAGAACCTACGTGTTTATTATTGTAACAGTAACTAGTGTTGACTCGCGACTCCGTCCACGTGGAATTAAAAATGAAAAAGTAGCCTATGTGTTCTTCCCCTATTTTTTTAAAATATATGATAGCAAACGAGCTAGTGGCCTGAATCCACCGAAATGGAAAGCGGCCGCTACCCATAGACATCCGCAATTGCAAATGCGTTGCCTACCCTTAATTGACGGAGGAGGAGACGCGCATAAAGAGTACATTTCCACTTCCTATGCGTCTCTTCCATTGTCAAATCCACTTTTCCTTTCCATCCTTTCCACTTCAGAAAAGGGTGGAAAGGGAAAGGGACTAAAATTAGGCCTCCGGCACCACACTCATCAGACGAAACGCGGAATTGCTTCCACTTCACGCCTGTTTTCTGTGTGGTCGTGGTATTACACCGGGCGAGCCAACCCTAACCTAACATTCGTGCGAAGATGTTAAAGCGGGCTCTACCAATGTTGTCCTCTACATCTATGCCACATTTTATCGAAATCTATCAGTTTAAACTTCAAAATCTAACATCCATCTAAACTTTTGCATAAGAGCAAGATTATTCTGTAATACATTTAAAAATAATTTAGATAGTAATAAATTCGCATATTCTTAACAGCGCTAATATTGTAATCATTAGGTGCAAATAGCTGGTCTCCAGCTAACGGCGCCACTACACTACACCATACTACAAGTCTGTTCGCAGACTAATTGAGCGATAAGCGAATATTGACGAGGTCGGGAATGTAGACAAACTGTAGGTTACTTTGCTGTTATCTTATTAATAAATTCCTTTATGCGATACGATTTAAATTATCGATTACCTATTAACAAAATTTAAAACCAACAGTATAAGACTTTGGATACAAACAGTAAGAAACCGAGTTGAATAATATCGCACACTACTCGATATTTAGTTGTGCAACTAAACAGTTGCATTGGCTGCGAAACAATCGACAATCGTACAACATTTGTACAATAGTATATTCAAAGGTTTGCGCCCACTTTAACACCCTAAAATCAGTCAAATTTAGTAGATGGGGCAGCCATCTACTAAATTTGCAATTCCATCATCTCATGAGATTATCCCACTCAAGTAATTTCGACGCACAAGTAAACCATAAATTTTTGACCTTTTTTACGGCTGTCCGCATGCCTGTCGTCAACTCAACTTTGTAGAGAAATTAATATTTTAAAATAGCAATTACAATTTTTTGTATTACGCATACTCTCCCAGTGTCTTAGGATTATCTGTACATCCTCAGGCGCTGCAGACCACAGCTGTAGCATTGCAGTGTCGATAATGCAGTACTCGGTGTATAATTTGCGTTAGATAACACGATACTAATTATTGCGGTGAGAATGGTCAATTGAATCAAGTTGCAGTTATCTACAAACAGTGTTACCTGTAATTGCAGCGTGTTAGATAGCTTTGCAGTAAAATGTATTTTGAAAAGGTAATTCGCTTGAGTTACATAAAAAAAATGCAAATGTATGTTTAAGATGTTTGAATGCTTGAAATACGTATCTTGCTTTTTTAACATGAAAATGATTATAAAAATAAATAAACCTAAAATTACTATTAAAAATAAGATTGTCAAGAATGGTACCATTAATGAAGTAAAGATTTACGTCTCAAAGCTGTTGTTTTTGTTTGTTTTTTAAGACACAATAAGAGGCAGGTGGGCAAGCGATCTGGCGGACAGGACATCCTGTGCACTCAGTTTTGGATGAATCGAACATACGAGCTGTTTACCTTACAAACATGTATCGTGGGAGCGTAAACTAGTTAAAAGGTTCCTTTCTACTTCATCAAGACAAAAGAAACAAAGAAAACATTTAGGTAGTGTTTTGTAAAGAAAGTAAACTCGGTTAATAAATCAACATCCTGTATATTAAGGAGGCTAATTAACTTAAAAATTTCTTCTACAAATTTCTACCAATTTAACAGCTTTAATATTTTTGTACGTGCCGGCTTCCCACCTACAATGACCATTTTGACTGATGAGTGTATGTGTGCCGGAGACCTAATTTTCCTCTCTTTCCCTCCACCGTCATTTATAGCGAAGGGATGGAAAGGTGAAGTTGATTTGACGGAGAAGAAGACGCATAGGAGTAAACATTGATAAAATCTCACGCTGTGCATCCCCTCCTCCTTAGATTAAAGGTAAGTGAAATAATGTAGCGTTATATTATCACTTAAGCAAAGCTTTATCTATTGCAAATTATATTAAAATGCATTTATTATAACAGCTATGGCGTCAAATGTAATTATGCAGTTATGAGCGCACGATAACATTTCAGGCTCGAGACCGGTTCCTTTGGTAATGTCTGACGCCGTCAGTAAATTGGTGCACTGAATTGTGACGGGGTTGGGCAAGGTATGACGGAATTAGGCAACACAATATTGATTAGAGTTTGTGATAATTTACCATAATTCTTACTTATACCGGTAATAGCATGAAGTGTATTAACTCTACTGGTTATAAATCACGACTTTAAGTAATATGAAACAATAATTTGCATTCATTAAGTACAACAATGACTTGTTTCTTTTATATGTTAAGTAAATATTGTTTTATCGACAACATTTTATCTATAAATCTGAAATTTCACGACGTATGTATTGTTGAACTTGATTATGTTTCTTACTGAAAAAGTCTAGACCGCTTCTAGTCTTTACAAAATTAACTGTCGCTTTCTATTGTCATAACAGTCATAGAAAATATTGATACTTTAAACTAAGGAAGTTTATTGTTACGTCTGCAATGTTTAAAGTGTTTTAAATACAAAGATATTAATTAAAAATCCTTAATTCAGTGATGTATGCTTTTTGTCCTTAACAGGCATTAGCTTTTATAATATAAGTAAACAGGCCTTCCGTAAAGCTTAAAACTCCTTACCAGGCTTGTGATGCTTGTGCTTCTTGCCCTTGCCGGCGACAACCGCCGCCAGCACCACCAGCAGCCCCCAGCTCAACCTCATCGCTGCACCATCACACACCACACACAACACATATAAAACTTCCTATTTACTAAATAAACTATACAAAAAGCTCTGTAATGTTTTAAATAAATCACTAAATTCTATGTAAGTTCTCTGAAACTTTCTAAATAAAAAATCTTCTAATGAAAGTTTTAAATATCAATAGAACGTAAAATACCGCGAAACTTTTCCCTAAGCAAACACGCACCGGCCAGTCCCAGAGATGTTCTACTACTGAGCGAAGTGTACTGCATACGTTGGACAAAAAAGCTAAGAAAGCTTCACGCTTTGAAGATTATTTCCTTTTCAAATTGAGAATACACAAAAATAAATATTAAACTACTCTATAACTATTGGTTTAAGTTTAATTTAAAATAATCGATTACATTTAATTAATTCAAATTAATTTCATTAAATATTTATATAGCTTTCTAAAACTTTTGATACATAAAGCTCGACTTGGTAGTTTACGTATCACTCACTAGATGGCGTTAGTGATAAAAATTACCACCACACTGCATAGGTGTTCGAAGTTAGGAACGTCGCGTATAGATGGCGCTGCACGTTTTTTTGAAGCTACGAGAAATCGCTTAAAACTGAAATTTTTACAGTAATGTTTACCTGTTGCATTCGCTGTAGGTGTTTGAAGAGCTAAATTCTTATCAGATCACAGAATACCGGTATCAAGTATTCATTTACTACATCTTTGATGTATTTATTAATTATTAGACGTAGGCCCTATCGTCTGTCTTCTACAAATTGTAGTGGATGCCTTCATTGATTGAGTTTACTTGTTTCAAATATCTCATTCAGCAGGCAGGATTATAAGGATATGGAAATCGGCATTTCAATGTGAAAGTATGAAATAATTTGGATAAAGTAGTCAGGTATAAATGATTAAAAATTATATAGATTTCTATTTATTTGGCAGTTTACAATTCCTTTACATGTTACTTCTTTACAAATAGATCATAATTCATTGAACGCTTTCAACACATGACCGGGCAGGGGGAGGGGGAGAAGGAAAGAGGACGGGGAAGGAGAAAGGGCGCAGGGAGCCCGCGCTGTCGTTAACAGTAACAACTCAATAACATACGAACAATAAGCCAAAAATGTTTAATGTCATATCGATAAATTTACATTGCGTTTATCGTAACACCAAAAACTGGACTCCCACAAGACGCGGCGGAGCGCCTGTCGCTAAACGAGTAAAAATCACCTAAAAAAATCCTCGCTAAAATTAAGTATTACATATACATACAAGATACGTTCGGATAGATCGCTCGGTGCGGTGTGAGCGCGGCCGGAGGCAGGCGGCCGCCGCTCACACCGCTCGCACTGTCGTGTCGGTGTAACAGTCTCTCGCGCCCGCGTGTCACCGCGTGTCGCGCGACGCGGCGCGCCCTGACCACTCGCGACACCTGGCGGCCCGCGCCGCCCCCAGCCGCAGCTCGAGACAAACTCCTCTCTTAGGCAAACTTCATCCTTAGCGGATACGTGGCGCGCAGCAACTGTACATTTGTATCTGTACACAGAGCGCGCGCCGCACACCGCGCCGGGCACCTGATATGTTCGATGCGAAGCATTCGCAAAATTAAACTTTATTATTATTATCATCATTTGATATGTATCTCTACGTCGCTATACAGGCTCGATATAATCTATAATAACTATCTAAAAGTGATATGACGAGGAGTTTGTCTCGCGGGTCGTTGCGGCCGGCGCGGGTCGCGCTTATTGCTCCGAGTGAAATGACGCGACGCATTTCCACCAGCAAACACGCAATGTTGGAATCCACGCGTGGTTTAATTTGCATTACTCATATTTGAAAATATAATTGCGCTTTCGAGCTAAAAGTGAGAATCGAACTCGTCGAAAGTTGTGAAATGCGTAGCGTCAAATCACGCGACATTTATTTTAAACTCTTAAATCGTCAACATACAAACTAAATACGGCAACGTGTCACGTCTAAAAGATTGGCCCCTACTTCGTCAATAACATTGCATAAGTATGAATGTCGTCCCCAAAAAGGATCGTCGAGTACAATAACGACTAAAATATTTCTCTTTCCAAGGCTCGAACCTAGCAGCGGGAGAATTATGTAATCTGTTTATATTATTATTGCATTTCAGTATTACCTATAAACTAGTATTAATGCCATTTAGTATAAAATATGTATGCAACATTATCGCCAGTCGACCAGGGGCCTCTCGAAATCCATACAACTCGGTACTCGGTACAGAACACATCGCGTCACGACGCATCGCGCGTCGCACGACGTGCCTTTGAACACATTTATCATCCTACTCTAAACCAAAACCATCGTAACACGTGAACCGGTTCGCACTCGGAGAGCGTCGCGAGCGGCGCTTCCGCTCGGAAACTGAAACATGTTGCGTCGCAAGTGACGCTTCGAAACGCGCCTGCTAACGGAAATCGGTCGCGTTGTGAATGGAACACGTGACCGCGTCGCGCGACTGTAGCGTGCGACACGGGAGAGGAGTAGTGGGGGCCGGTACGGCGCCCCCGCCCTGCGGGCCCGACCGGGCCGCCTCAGACGAACCACTCGTCCTTGTGCGGGGCGGCGCTCAGCGCTGTGCGCTCGCCCGCAGGCGGCCCGGACGCGCCGCGTTGTACCCGCGCGGGCCCGCAGGGAGCGCCCAGTTTCCCGGCAGCCGCGTGCCGCCCGGGCAGGCCGGCGGGGACTCGCCGCCCGCCGGCTTGCCAGCCGACCCGGCGCCGTTGCTGCTCGCCATCTGCGCCACTGCAACATTAACATTCAAACTAAACTAACATTGTACACTTTTCATTCATCTCAAATCAGGTCGAGGATCGTACATGATCAGAAGAAGCCTCCTCTACATGTCCTCTCAAAATAAACAAATCTTGTGCTAATGCATATCTTTTCCAACATCGAGAAAGAATTGAATCAGTAGTTTAGGGTCCGATGACAAAGGTCAACTCACAGTGTAGATGAGTGCGGCGCGAAGGCGCCCTCCGGCGGCAGTGGCAGCAAAGCGCGAACGCGGCGGCGGCCAGCGCCAGCGCCCCGCCCCCCGCCGCGCACACCAGCCATAGCCCGCCGCCGCCCGCGCCGCCACTCTCTGCATGCATGGTTAATATTAGATGTACAGACACAATTATCGCGAGGATTATCCGAGCTCTACTTTAGCAGCTGCACTACAATCGAGGTATTAATTATCTTTTCCTGAATTGCAGTAATTATTGCAAAAAAAACGTTTCCGTTATTGTTCTGAATGCGAATAACGAAAAAATGTAATATTCCATTTTTAATTTAAATGGAAAACTTTGCCAACACGATCTATAGTAGTACAATAGGCAACAATGGCGCACGGCAATGGCAAAAGAAATGCAAAGCAGCGCGAACTTTCCTTGATTAATAACATCAAATGACAGAGAATACGCGTCCCGGAGCCCGGAGCCGACTTGACTCATAAATATCGGGATTATTATGAAACAAGGCTATTAAACTGTAGGCTGCACATTCCTACGGAGCGCCTGATGATATTACGTTTGATTAATGGACTACGATATTGCTTTTATAAAAAGCCAGGCACAATGTTGTAAGGTAATGGGTTCCATCTTTTTAAATGACAGTCTGTTTATACTAATCATAACTTTAATTTAGGAATATTGGTTGCTATTAAATATCCTAATTTTAAGTTCCATTATTAAACGCATGCTTTACTATAAAACGTTGAGGAGATTTCCTAATTCCCGCGGCATGTGCTCATTATGTGCAATTAACTTGATTTTATTTCTATGTTAATATTTGGAGTCGTAAAAGCTTATTGTTTGGCAGAGCTCGTGTTGGCGTATCCCCAACAAATAATAATGTTATAAAGTTATGAATGCCGTTCATTTTGACCTCGGATTTTAGTTTATTTACATAACAAAGGTAGGTTGTTGCATTAACTTTTCTACCATAGTTAATATTTGTTTTTGGTTATAAAAAATTATATACAAAGAACCTAATCCTATTCTGTAATTTACAGACTTTAGTAGACATTTTTACTATTTAGATGATATTTCTGGGTGTATTTAAGTTGTTACCGTGGCAGAGAGCGTTCGTGTCCTCGTCGGAACCGTCAGCGCAGTGGTCGACGCCGTCGCACGCGAGGTCTGCGCTCACGCAGAACTCCCGCTGCTTACACCGGAACTCCTTGCACCCGTGTTCTGGAACCGCAGTGCGTATTGGAAGGTAGCATATGTATTCATACGTTACAAGGCGAAGAACACAGATTACAGAATCACTTAAACAAAATAGCAGCTAACTTGTTCGCTAAAGGAAATAAAATCCTGGTTAGTTCACTTATGCGTGTATTGGGAGCCTAATCTAACTATAGGTATAGCGTTTAGCCATAGTAATGTGTTTTTTCTTTTATATAAGAGCGGTTTCGCGAGGGGCTATCCAATTTAGTAAAAGCGACACTATCTACGCGCATGTCTTCCATCAGTGTCCGACCTTTTTCCACATCAAACCACACGCAGCCAAACTTTCCTGTTTCATCGTACGATAAAATGTTTTAATTCTAACCATATTACATTACAATCCATGATTTGTTGAAAACTCTGTACAAAAACAATTAATGAGTAGTTTTTTTTAACATAAATGCAATTATAATGATGTTGTTACTGTCCGAATAACAAAAAAATGCGAATTTGAAAATCATGACGTCAGAATTATACTCTTGTCAATTTAAAATAACGATTTAAATTACATGAATTGCTTCGTAAGCAGTATTGCTAAACCGCAATCTTAACGGAGGAGGAATATTCTTAAATTACCAATGAGAGTTCAAAAGTGACTAGACTAACGAGCCAAAAGTCGGACAAACGCCTCGCAGTCGCATGAACGAAACGATTTTAAAGCTCCGTCCAATCGAGCACATTAAAAGCTCTGATCGCTTATAATCTTTATTTCTAAGCTTAGACGAAGCTCAGGGGACGGGGATTAGAAGGGGTGTCTCCCTCGAGGCTTTTGATCTCGACGGGAGGGGGCGCTCGCGGCGACGGAGCGTATGAACGTATTGTTTAAAGTTTTATTCGGTCGTCGGTGACGCGAGTTGTTGTAATTCAATGGTACGAGTACACGCTGGCGGGAAGTCTTTATGCTTGTGTTGCGGCGCGACGAAGGTGGCTTTCAAATTTATCGCTTTACAAATAGCTTTACTGGTATTAAACTATAGTTACTATAAAGAATATTGTGGAGAATCAGTGAGTTTTGATAGATAATATTTTGTATGTGAAAGAAAAGTAGAATTGACATTTTCGAACCTAAATTGTATGTCTTTGATATCTATCCAAAAGCAATCCAATAACAGTGACTGTAAAACATAAACGATGGGTAATTCGTCTGTCATGTAAAAGATATCGACATCTAAGGTGCGAAAAGTCGTTAAACCGAAGCTTTTCATCGACAAAGACCTGTTTTATTGCGTATTTTTCCTTATTAATTTCCGTCGGGGTCTGAGCGCCGCCGGCGACGGAACTCGACCGAATTCGACGCTCACACGAATAAAAATATTACGATGCCCATCGAGTTTCCGATACTTATAATCGCCTTTATGTCTTCAATAAATGCATGCAGTTATTTTTTATGTAAGTACATTTTATTATGCAACTTTAGTGTATCAATTAATGAAAAAAATCATAAAAAAAACTGCAAAAGTTCACACTTCAAATAAAACTGCAATGGTTCCAAGTTTGTTTAAACATCTAAACATTTTTTGCCATACTGCCTCAATAACTAACAAAGGTGGAATGACAACTTAAATTTAACTCTAACTTAACTGCAAGTTCGAGCTCGGCGCAATGGCGCAGTCTGAACCCTAGCAGTTAGGTACGATAAAGCCTAATGCGGTACACGCTAAGCCACAAAGCCTGTCCTCAACCGGAGAGGTTAATTTGCGACTAAATGAATAACTTAACACGCAGCATGCAAATTAGTCTTGGTATTTAATTACAGTCAAAAAAGATGACAATTTTCCAAAGTACTATCAAATAAAAATGTTATTTGATACTTAAAGAGAAAGAAAGCCATTAAATAACAAAAAAAACATTCGAGCCAGATCCGAGTTGACAGATAAATAGAAATACTGAAAGAAGCAAAGTTTACGGAACAAAAAGTTAACACGAAAAGCAAAGTTTAGGGAAGAAATATGATTACAATCTCGCGCTTTCCTTCCGTACGAGATATCGTCGTTGGAAGTTCTCCGTTATAATTGGCGGAAGGAGTACGAAAAACGTAAGAGAACATGTCCGGTTTTCTTCAATATATTTCGAATTGTACTAAGGACGATGAAATTAAGACACTCGGCAAGGAAATTTTTATACATGGACAGTAATTTTGACTTTTATGTAGTTCTCTTTAAGTCGTCGTTTAAAAAATCGTTTAATTATACGTCTAAATCGGAAACTTTTCATAAGCTTAGGTGAGTGCAAACAAATTAGTAGCATGGTCAAGACAGATAGAGGGCGCGACTTGCTGGGCTCACCAAAAGTTCACGTTCAATGTGATATCAATAAAATTTATTGCGGCCATTAGGGACGAAATATTGGGCCGTTCCGACCCTTGTGTGAACTTCTTTGATTGGACAAATATTGTGCCGAATAAAGTTCCACATAATTTTGTGAAAATACAATAAAGAGAATGAAAAAAGAAACGAAAGGTTAGTATATAACACATGTAATGCAATGTATACTAAAATAGGCCAATAGATGACCTAGAATACACAATAACACTAAATATTTAACAAGGCAAGTAGGGGGCGGTGAACGTCGGTATAGCTCTACGCCGTCGTAATAAATCACTTCGCTATCTGATGTAAGTGACGTAAGAGTCCACAAGAATTTGTGTTAGGCGTATCGGACGAGTATATCTAGCCCTCTAATCCTGGACTCCTAAATCAATGTATAGAATAAAACAAATTTAACATGGGATTATAATTAACGTAATGGTAATAATGTTTTTTAGATATTTTTCGTAATTAAACCGATTTGGTCTACCTTAACTATGTCATTCACATAAAAAAAGCAAAAGTATCGAAAGTACACGAGTTTAATGCGTAGAAAAGAAATGTATGCATAATAAATTTGTTTCCATGAAATTCAGAAACAATATACAGTTCTACAAGTAACGATAAAATATATCAGCTTTGAAAATAACGTGAGCGATTTAATTTGGCAACAGGTCCTCTCAGCACGTCAACAGAGGACAGCGGGCGTACGATACAAACAAAACACGCAATAAATATACACGTAAATAAAGGCTGTGCCAGTAATACTGCTCTGTCGGCTGTTTGTACGAATAAATAAACATTGGCGCAAATTAAAGAGGGCGATGAAAGAGGGTCGGCGCGACCTCTGCGGAGATGGCAATTTTTTTCCCTTAAACACGTATTTAATGGCACACGCGTCCTTTACGATTTATTACTTCGATTTGTTTGTGACGGCTTTTCAAAGTGATGAATAAATCGAAGCTTACATTATTAAGTTATATTATTTCTCTTTTAAAAATCAGAGCACTCTACTTCACTCATGCATAAATCTTACTAATAAAAAAATGTGAAAGTGTAAATGGATAGATGTTTGTTAGTTTACACTGCTGAACGTATCTCGATGAAATTTGACATAGATTATGATAGTCTGGAAGAACACATAGGCTACTTACTTTTTTTTAATTCCACACGGACAGAGTCGCAGACGAAAGATAGTATATGATAAATTTGCAATTATATTACTGTTTATTGCACATTTATCAGATCTTGTAGTACATGAATTAATTGCATTGATAAAACACTTATCAGTAAACATAATTAACAAAAAAACACGATCGATAAATAGTTCTTAATAATGTTGATTTTTAGATTATTTTAAATGTGCATACAAATAAATTATCATGCATTTTGTTTAAGACAGTGAATAACAACGTTTGCTTGCATAGCAAAGATATTTTTTTTTATAATAAAGGGGGGCAAACGAGCGGCGAGAACACCGAGGTGGTCAGCGACGCCCATGGACATCCGCAACACTAGAGGAACTACAGATGCGTTGCCGACCTTTGAGGAAATGATAGGCTCGCTTCTTGAAGGACCCTAAGCCGTATTGGTTTGGAAATACCGCCGAGGATAGACCGTTCCACAACGCGGCTATGCGGGGCAGAAAGTTCTGCGATTTACTCTTTCTTTCTCACTCGCTAAAGACAGAAAGAGAATTCAGAAGAATCCTAGGTTATTTAAATAATAGGATGTTATGGTAAGACATTATGTTGTATATCAGACGTGAGACTTACTAGGGTCCTTGATGGCAGTGATGACTAGCTTGAAGCCGTTGGCGTCGGTTCCCCAGTTGTCGGTAACGTACTTAAGGGTGACGAAGTTGCTGCGAGTGAACAGCGCCCCCACCTGCTGCTTCGTGTTGCGACACGACAGATCCGCCTGCAATACAACCGATAGATTGTTAGTGAATCTATGTATGGAATGATGGTTGGAATGTTAGCGTAGTAAGATTGTTTAAGGCACTGTAAATAAATCTGATTTGATATTTAGATTTATATTAGGACTAACAATATCGAGTTTATTTAGCACTCTATTGTATACTTAGTAGTATACAACATGGTAATACTAACTATCCATTTTGTATACAAGCTAATTACGTCATAAAACATACATTAACAAAACATTTAAACTAACAAGAAACATGTTTGTTTTGTATCCGAGACGGGAGCGTCAAAGCCGTCTCGTTATTTAGAATTCAACACTTAATTGATGTTTGTTATATTTCATTAACATGTTTATGTCGTTGATGAAGACGAAAGACGTATGGGAATCGTCAGCTGGCACCCGCGGAGCTGTAATGAAACACCAACAAGCAACTAACGAGACAGTCTGCTTGAATTCTTAGAGGCCTCCGCCGCGTTTTACCAGCATCCTAATGAAATAGCTCTACTCTAATGTTACTGTTGAGCTGACACTCGAGCGCTCAGTCGACAGCCGCGTTCTGAGAGCTTCTTAATTAACTAATGAATTCTTATGCTCCAGTTAGCTAAGATATGTACCTGTAAATGTTTAGGTAAGTTTATATAAATGTAAAATATAAATATGTTTCGACAAAGTTTATCAAAATGTTTCTAACTTCGATACTTGGAGCGAACAAAACTCTAAGAGCAAAGTGAACCGCTTCCCGAGTGCTTCAAAATAATATCGACAAAAACACGTAGCGCCAGTATATAATGGCACATAATACAGCGTGTACGGGCCCCGACCTAAGCGCCCCACAGCACGTGCGGGCCGCGAGCTGAGCGCAAGGCGGCACGTGCGGCCCGTGAACTAAGCGCCCAGGCGCCGGCAATATTTTCTTCATCGAAGGAGGCTTAGTGGAGCGATCGCTGCGGTCTATCGTGTCATTTTTCACGTCGACGTGACGGCGAGCGCTCGCAGCTCGCCCCCTACGTCACCCGATATCTCGACACCTCCCCCATCTAAGAGGGGGAGTCTTGCATCAAAGGCGCTCCACCGGACTTTTGCAGTTCTTATTCTGCTCCTTTATGTAAAGTTTAATAAAGGACGACCCCCGGGTTGATATTAAAATTCCTTTATATAAAATTTTTCAGATTACAGATAGTGCCGGCATGCACAGCGAGACACCGTGCCACCTAGGCGACACCGTGTCGCCGTCGCGTCGTCTTGCCTCTCGTTGCGCCTCGCAGCACAGGTATAGAATGAGAATTTTATTTAATGATGTCAAATACAATGTCTATAAAAGAACAGATATTGGAAAAATGTAAAACAAGATATTGCAGGAATGATTTTAAACAAGCATTTTGGTAGAGCTTTATAAAATTTGTATATAAATAGTTTCAGTTCAAAAGTATATTTTGTTTCTTCACAGACGAAAGAGCAATAGCCTGCTTTGGACTATTATGTTTTGACATTCCTATTCAAAGAATGAAAAGAGATGTTTTGACACTCTATTTTTAGACCAGACTTACCAATAGAAGGAGTGTATCAATTCGTCTGTATATTTTTAAAACTGTTAATTATGAGTTAGTGGGTATGGTAATTTTAAAATAAAACAATATAATTTTGAATCAAAAATTGAGAATATATTAATTTATTTACAGCGTTTTTCGACTTCGGAATCATTGGTTCAACAAGATAAATTAAAATGAAATGTAAATAAAAGGTGTTATGAGAATGGGTGAATTTTAATTGGAACGGATTATGTCGAGCATACAATGAGAGCTATTGAATTTTGTTAATCGCCTTACTTATTCTACGTAATTTACATCGACGTTGTTATATGAGTTTGAATTTAAAAAGTTTCAATTAAAAAATGATTTCTCTCTTTTATCAGTATTAGCTTTCGCCCCCGACTCCGTCCGCGTGGAACTAAAAAAAGCGAGTAGCCTACGCGTTCTTCCAAACTATCCTCTACATCTAGGCCAAATTTCATCGAAATCGAAATCCGTTCAGACGGTTAGACTACAAACTCTAGCAAACATCTACATTTTCAGCAGTTTTAAATTTTCTTGTCTGAAACATTCGCTAAATTATAATTCATACGATAGTGAGCGCTGCTTATGATTCAAGTCGTGTCAGTGATCGCAGCCCCTACATCATGATAACTTAGACTCCCAGTCACGCGCCGGCCCTGGCCGCTATCACCTGACACCACTAACTTGTCAAACTAACTCCGGCCCTGGATACAGAGTCACGATGTGTCAAGATGAACTTAAGAATGTATTCGCACAACAACTTTCTTGTAGTTTTTTTACAATCATTCCTACTTTAATGTTAACTACTTTTTGATTTTTTTATCAAAGTGAAAGTAAAGAAATTCAAGCTATAATGTAAGTATCGCTTGGTTTCCACCACTAGGTAGAAATCAAGCAAACTCCGATGTATATTTTCAAAGCAGACTACCAGCATGACTGATGTGAAGTTAGCAAAAGTTGGTGGGCACCGTTGTTGATTGTCGCATACTCAGTGCGGTGTGAACATAGTTGCGAATACTTCACATCGCACGTGGACAAACTTCGCCCTTTGTCTACCTAATGAATTCACAACATTGTTTTAGTTTCGTTAAACTATAAAACTATTGCGCGTGTACAGGGTGCTCTGGATAATAAAACTGCGGTTGCTTTGTTGCAGAGATATTGTTATATTTAACCATCTTTATGAACCACATTACTTTAAGATTACACCAATGAGATGAACTTTATCGATTCCAACATTCTTGAAAGAACAGCTACTCCCCAAAAACTGCAGAATTAAAATGATAAATTATCTATTTTAATTTAAAAACAAATTAGAAAAGTTTGCATATCTAAAGTACATAGATACATAGATGTACTCTCTACGGCATTTCTAATTACAGTGTACATGATTAAGGCAAAGGTTTCATTAGTTTAAATTAAAGCAAAGCTAGACTGGATCGTATCGATGGAAATTTCCCCTTGAGGTGCATGTAATCAAAGTTAGCAGTAGTTTAGCACATGGTCCTCCGAGCCGGACATCGCTGTTAATTGACTCGGCAACTGAGCCGGCGACAGGAGACTGATATTATGGGACACTGTTAAGTGGCATTCACTGTAATCTACTAAGATATTGACGCTTCACTGTAGCTCTATTGGAAAGGGTATCTAAGAACATTGCCTACGTTTTGAACGTGTCTTGGGTAGCATTAACAATTGAACAAAGATCAAGAATTTTTTCTTTGTCAAGTTAAGGAATTTAACGCAGAACAGAAAGCACAATGTTGTGAAGTGACGTTCGCCAAAAACGTTAAATATTCAAGATCAAAGCATAACTCGGCAACATTTTCCCTTATTTTGTGGTAGTATGCAGTCTTGATACAAACTATCCCAAGACTGGCGATTCAGAATGTCTCTCTAAACCTTTGAAGTTAACTTGAAGATATTAAACGAAAACATTTCTATGTTCATTATTATTAATATTATAAACATGGATGGATGTATGTTAGTTAGAGCTTGTACGCTAAACTGCTAAACGGATCTCGATGGAATTTGGCATAGATTTAGACGATATTTTGGTAGAACACACAGGCTACTTACTTTTGGTTTTGTAATCCTACGCGGATGGAGGCATAGCCGAAAGCTAATATTAGATAAATTGTTTAATCACTTGTATTCGGCCCCGAAATTACTATTAATGAAAATGATTATTATTGCTTTGTTATGATTATGATTATGATAACATAGTTATGTGCTGGTCGCGTTACTCCAATACAATATGCGAGTGCGGTTATCATTTAACAGAAACAATGTTGCAATTTGTTTTGTATAACGTTCAACTAAAATTTACATTGCAAACGCAATTGTTCCGCTCGAACGCTCAACAAATCGCCCGGCGCTCACCGCCCGCCGCAGCGTCATTCCATAATTACACACGGTTAAAATTAACGGCCACAATCAATGCATCGATTGTTAAACAGTTTCAAATTATTGTGTATACTGCAACCAAATGTTTAGTTTTGCTGTCAACTGCTGGTATTATTGAAATAACAATTAGAAGTAATATAAATCACAAGAAAAGGACTTCTTTTTAAAACCTTAATGATAGTAAGAAAAATGACACATTCAAAACGAACTCTGCAGTTTGATATTGGTTAAATAATGCGTATCAAATGTTTAATAAAAACGTTAAAATAATTTCAATCGCCAATCATTTCATTAACACTGTACAGTAAAATAATTGCGTAATCACATTAAATTAATGACATGCGAGAACGTCACTTCCCATGATATTTTAGTTGATATTAAAATTACACTATAAATTATGTTACAGTGTAAAACTTTAAAATACACTCAAACCAGGACAAGCGGGATTCCAAGACCCGCGATATGTCTCTCGTTTATTAAGGTCTCACACTTGCATAGCTCTCGCCTATCATCGTGTAGTGCTGCAAGTATACTATGAATAAGGAAGAAAATTATGCGCAATAATTAAAAAGTGAAAATTAAATACAAAGTAGAGCTGAGCAGCAGGTGACATCAGACGGCTCGCTGCGACAAGTGCCCACTTAACAATTAAAATGCTTTAATTTGGGGGCTCAAGTTACCGAGGAGCTCGAGATGCCAAGGCGCCAGAGTTGCCAACTCGCTCCAGTCTCGCGAACTTTAGCGAAACGATCCGCCGGTAACACTTCCGACTTATTCCCGGCGCCAATCTGAATTGTTATTTTAAATTAGAGGAAACTCCGACGTCCCCCGGACAGATAAAGGAAAAGATTCTAAAACATAAAAGTTACGAGGGAATCTTTTGTTCAGTTTCAAACTTCTTAATTTATTTATTTTAATTCGTAGATGTCTTTGATTTAAACAGTTTCTGTAAGATTTTCTTCACTAGGTAACACATTGAGGAGAGGAAACTGGATGAGCGCATCAAATATATGTCGAAGTATTTTGAAATAGAATGTAAGTTTTACTAAGCTTTAAAATCTCGTAAACTTGCGGTTGTCTCTTGTACGAAACAATACGGATGAAACAAACATTTTAGAACTCAACTCAATAGGAAACTTGTGAAACAAACATTTCTTAGAACATTTAAGTAATACTTAACAATTTATTGAAATAAGTTTTGAAATTCTCCTAATAATTTAAACGTGGATTCAATCTAGAAGCGTCTATAAAGCTCCACCAATTTGAAGTAAATATGTGTGTTTTTTGTTTTATTATAGAGAATAATAACGTGTGTTCTTTTCAGCGTGTGAAATATATTAAAACATTTGAATGCCTCTTTCTAAAAAAATGTTCATAACATCGAACGAAAGCGTGAAAAACAATGTCGTCGTGAATTGTTGAACGCGAAAACTGACATAAAACTCGTAAGCCCGGGATACCATCGTGACAACGTCGATACCGCATCGACCTGTGACACTCTATTTTCAATTGAACCCATTCAATACTACAGTTATAGAATAGCAACGGTTTTGCGCTAAACGAATTCCTACAGAACGTATTCTATGTTACAGTGTTATCAATTACAGACGTCATACAATAATAACTATTCGATTCAGATAAGATACTGTTTTGATAAAGATAGCGGCGATAGCAACACACTACATATAGATTAGTCACTACTTGTTAATTTTGATCTAAAAACTCGAACTAAGCCAAAAAGTTAGAGAAATTACAAATTATCCAAAATGGTAATCTCAATAAAAGCAAACAATAAACTGCGTTAAATAATTTATACATTTAATCTTGATAATAAAATATAGAAAACTAATATCCGTAAGGTATTGCCTTTGTTATACAAAAAATACAAGCGTGGGGTCGCTTTTTACAGACCTCCCCCAGGCAGGGCACCCGCCGTAACAAGCATGCGGTCCGCTGCGCGCGGCCCGGCCCGGGTTTCGCCTGAGCTTGCCTAATTGTGTGTATTTAGGATAAGGAAAAATAAACAAAGGCGTACCGCAAAAGAAAACTACTTAGAGTCCCATAGGTATTTAGCGTAGCCCCGAAACGGAGGTAACAGGAGGACCTTTGTTCAAAAGACCGTTACGAGCGCAAAGTTGTCGAATTTGAATTTAAAATGCGCAAAGTTGCGTCCCTCACTGTGTGTTAATTATTTAGCGAGCGGCCGCGACACCTGCGCCCCTGCCTTTGTCTCCTGTCTCCTCCATCAACGCTCTCATGCTGAATTAAATATATCTTATTCAACAATTTCTTGCCCCAGCCTTTTGGACTTCGGAAAATTAATTTTAACCACAACTTAGAGTAATTCAATATTTACAAGACAGTATACAAAGCAAAGGGTTTTCGTGGGCGTTTACATTTTCAATAAGTGGACTTTGTGGCGACGGACTTGAATTTGTTAATCGCCTTAGTGGAGAGCTGCGGCCAGTGAGTCAGTAATACTGTGTTAAGTCACTGAATTCCTTGAAAAATAATATATACGTAACAAATGTTACTATCATTACCAACATGATAGCCAGTTGCACGTTACCACGTCTATAACAGCTAGTATAAAATCATCAAATGGCGCAATTAAGAGCGCTGAAACCATTGAATGGCTACCGCACCGAGTTGACTAAGCGCTGTTCTCAAAAGTCAGTTGTAATTGAACCAAGGCGGGCATTCCTCGCAGTCTCATTAGCATACCATCGCCGAGGGTCTTTATATAAACTAACGAGCCGCCGTGCCCGCAGCGATCGGGAACAATCAGAGATAATCGGCCGTCTCCACGATAATTGCCGCTCACGACTTCTTGGAATGTCTCCAAATTGAAAATAATATCGATGGAATCCCTCCTAATACCAATTCAAAATTATTTAACTCTCCGCTTGCGAGCCCCGAGCGCAGACGTCGCGGACCTCGCAGACCTGAGAATATAATTGAAATGTCATCGTACGGTATCTCAGACACCACGACCCTGTTACAAGAGCATTAGATTCCATTATGTCTGACTAGTGCATTTATCGTAAAATATATTCTTACAGAAGTTCAATTTCCAGGAGTATTGGTTTTAAATTTCTATGTGGAAATAGTTTTAATTTATAGTCTATCCTAGCCTTCTAACCTTAGGTGGCGCGGTGTCGTGCGCGCCGTCGTACACGTAGAGGTGGTCGTTGCAGTCGAGCTGCAGCATGTCGAAGTGCAGCATGAAGCGCTGTAAGACGCTATGAGTCTGGTAGGTAACGGAGCAGTCGAGGTTGCGCTCGTTGCGGGACCACAGCACGCCGCCGTCCAGCTTCCGGTACTGTCGCTGGAGGAAATGATCCTTGCACAGCGAGTCCATATAATCTGTAGACAAGCATAAACATACTTTTAAAATTTATATCTATGCCAACAGCTACGTCATCAAATAGATTTTCTTTCACTTCGTCCCAGAATAACTGGGCTACGAATCTATAACTGATAAAATATGTCAGTTATCTCATTGTGATTATCTTTTCGTACGTAGACGCAGTCGGACAGTGCTATCTGATCTAGCGGCAAGCTCGCCCCTGCGCTGCCGTCGCAGTGAAAGTTTTTTTATTAATAATGTTACGTGTACTGTAATTTAGTGATATTTCGTCTGCGGTCGCAATGTAAGTAGACATTTCTTCCACCATTATCGAAAAATCAACTTTAATTGTAGATGTCTCCAAAACATTTTTAAACATTTAGAATTCTAATTTTCCAGGAGCGCCTGCATCGTGTTACCGTTCTTTACTCTTATACTTCTTCTGACGAGTACATCATCTGCCCCCACTCCCCGCATCCTCAGCACATTGGTGACAGGGGAGACGACAGGCCTGGAAATACCGAAAGAGCTTCTGGCCGGGATAGGAGTGGGCAAGGGAGCCATACAGATCGTAGTCAACGTCCACACTGACAGTCAGGGGAATATTGAAGTTTACACAAATTGAAAGAAACATGATCTATTTTGATAATTCAGAAACAAAGAGATATATGATATAAGACAATCTATCCAAAGACTGGTGTTATATAGACTGACTGCTATATTGTGCGGTAAAGCGAATATATTTACCATAACCATTTTTTGGAACAGTTACCCAGATTCTATGCTGCCTGTTGTTTGTTGTCTATGCTACATGTTGGTTGTTCTAATCAGCCCTGATAAACGTAGTTATGGTCTACTTCATACCTATTGAAGAACTCTCTCACGAGAGTTTATCAAGCTGTCTTCTAGAATTACATTAAAAGGTTGAACATCCATAAATTATTACCAAAATGTTCGAGATTTTCCAATGACAAGCTTCGGAATTTCCTTCAAAGGGATATTGAATATCAATTGATGATGACAAGTGGAGCGTCATAATGTAACATATCAAATAACGCCGCATCACCTCGCATATCGAGTCTCGCACAAGTCAATGGGAAGGGAATTTGTGACACTAATATTCGTCAAATTTGATCGTTAATGTGTGCGGCCGGAATCGTCTCACGTTCCGCCTCTCAGAGATACGAGGGGCTTATCGTATCGACGCAAAGAAATCGCGATAAAGGGAGAATTTCTATGTGGAGTGCGGTCGGGACGTATTTATTGCTCGCGACTCGCACGCCTGCTGAATACGTACAAACATATTGACATCTCGATATTACTTTTATTGGTGTTTTGTAATCTTATGACTTAATCATTGGGGTAAGAATTAGGTCATGATACAACGACGTTGAAATTTTAAAACGTCGATTGGTTGAAAAACGAAATAATCTACCTCAAACACTTTTGAAGTTATTTGTTATTTCGTATAACATAAAACAAATATGTTGACTTTCCGTAATTAAAAGAAATATCTTGACGTTTTAGGAAATTGCTAAAACTACATTGATATGACTAAAACAGGCTAGAAATAAATTAAAAAGTATCAATTTATAACAAGCATTTCTTACGCTTCTGAGTCGCAAACGTTAATTGGTTGGATTTCGAAGTCTAGAACCGTATATTTTAGTAATTGTAACTAGTTAACCCCATCGGTATGCGGTTAACTAGTTACAATCAGTCATTTTTGGACACAAACATGTTTGTTCATTGAACGCAAAATAAATGCAAATGAACTGTTTATTCATCTATTACAATTTATTGTAATTGGGATTACACTTTTGGTAATCTTTGTATTACAGTAAGGTGTATAAATTAAGTTAAGGTTTTTTACAATGTCAATAAAGTAATTGAAAACGATTTTCTTGAAATTATTTCTACCAAGAACAATCCTAACAGGGAATCTTCCCAAATAAAACAAGCAAAGAATTCCCAGTCAAAGGCGTTGATAACATTTTCTATGAAGACAAAGCGAAGAGAGTACAAAAGGAACGGGTTAAAAGAAATATTTTTCAGAGCCAAAACACAATGTCTTTTATAGATAACTTTAATCTTTCTCTAAGAAATATTTAATTATTAGGCAACCTTTTACGTTAAAAAGAATTTAAAATGTAAGTGATAATAAAATAACACGTATTAGTGTAATTTATGAATTTTAAAGCAATCTTTATCAAGATTCAAAGTCGAATTACTTTCCCGTTTGAACCGACCTTTGTTGTAATTATTGTTTCTAACTGCCTCTGCTTTTGTAAGGTTTTTGTTATCTTTTTAAATTTGATACTCGTGATTTTCTTTAGTTATTAAATCCAGAAACAGAATGGAAAGATCTGTCGATTTGTTCCTACATATTGCGTTCTGTTTGCTGTCAGATCACTCTCTACTAAATCATCTTTTACCAAGTTTACCAAATAATCAATCCCAATAGTTATAAGTAAGATTTTCCCATATCATTAATTACAATTTGAAATGGATCAAGATCGTTTAGCTTCATTGAATTCCATCTCCCGCAAATGTTCGCAGTGGGAGACTCCGCTGCTGCCGTGTCAGCAGTACTCGCTTATCTTCCTGTAAGAGATATCCGCAAAGCCGTCTTTACCAAAACGGATATAACCAAATGGTTTTTACGTTTGGTTAAATACAGAATATTAAGAGTAATAGTTGTATACACGAGTTTTTTACGTCTTTTTATGGTTAGAGAGTAATTATTACTAATGTTACGTCACTTGCACAACGTAAAGTAATGTATTTTTCATTAGTCATTTGAATTCGATTAGATTTAATTTGAGCTATTCATTCTCAGGAGTTTTAAACAAGTATGCTTGAAAACCACTCATAGTGAAAAGACAGTATAAAGAAACAGTTTTTGTGGTTTGTGGTTTAAGATATTTATTTCTCTATATATAATTCTTCTTCTTCTTCGAATATACAATTCGCTTAACGAGAAACATTTTTTTTTTACATTTACAATTTACATCAGTAGTCTAGTTTATTATCATTTATATTAGTATTTTATTTTCTTTACAAAATTTTTTAATTTAATTTTAAATAACGACATTTTATTTTCGTCTCTGATAACTTTAAGTAAAGAAACAGTTTTTTAAATTGTAAATTAATTTTGTATAGGAAAAAAGACTTCGATAAGTCACATCGATATAGTTAGAAGAAGAACATAAAGAGACAAGTCGAAAACAGAGTTAATGGAATGGGATTTACGAACGAATTTCAAGAAAATAATCACAATTCTGTCGAAACACGCGGAGAGACGGAAATGAAAGAAGCGAGACAGCATTCTCGGGTGGCAGCCGTCTCGCTCGGACACACAGCGCCCCCTAGTGACGCTTTACGCGGCCATAGCTTGTGAAATAAGATACTAGAAGAAGCGTGTCACTTAATCCAGTTTACAGCGTTAAAAGTCACTTCCCATTTTTATACTGCAAAATGTTTTGCCGTTTTCTAAAAATATCACACTATTAGTTTATTTTTATATATAGTTATTTATATATAGTTTATACTTTCGTTTTAACATTTATTCTCTGAAAAAGAAAGATATTTTGAAGTCATTATAACTATAGCAAAGTAATAAAACTATATCGTTTAAATATACATGACAAACAAGAAAATAGCTGTTTCAAGCGGAATGTACTTGTATAGTGTTTGCAATTATCATAGCACTAAAAGTTTACGTCAATTGCATTGTTTATCAACATTACTTTTCCATCGGATTAAAAATGATAACACATGAAGTTATGGATTAAAATAATTCCACAAAACTCTTCAAGTTGCTACAAATCGCAAACTACAATAAGCATAATTAATTAAATGTAAGGTAATTTTTGAATGGCTGGAAAATTTTTATCGAATAGTTATCGAAAGTACTTTTTAATAATTGTAGATTGGTATGGTAATAATTGGTTTAATGTCATAATTTTGTAACAAAAATAAATCAACAAATCGCTCACTTCCTGGCCCCAAAATACAGCGTCTGTCGAGCGGAGGTCCGCGCATAAAATTTTGGAAGGAAATTTTCCTTGGTCCAATGACGGCCGATGTAATTACATTATTAAGCATCCCTCTTTTTCGCTCCATAAAATTGCCATTGCTAACTTTAATGTGCCAAATTACCGCCTTAAATGGAGTTTGTGAACAGCAATATTATGAATACTAAACAATAGACGATCAATCGACTTCGATTAGCAAACATTAATATTTTAAATCTATACTATTATAATAAAGCGTAAACACACACTTCTTTGTTGTCAAAGATGTCGGCAGTTACAGCATATTTTTGAATAATTCTATTTTTAATATATAGCCCTACACTTACATCACGCTTTAGACTATATATTTTCACGCCAATAATCTTAGGGGGTTAATATTTTGGATAAAAACCCCTGTGTGGGAAAGAGACCATAAGTTGCTGCCAACATCAAGGAAGCAAAATTGCCATAGTTAGGTAATTGGTATTTTGACATTTTCAATTGAGAATCTGACAAATGTAAACAATAAAAGTTTTTACTATTTCATGCGGATGTAGCCGCATGGGAACAGCTAGTAAGTTATAAAAACCAAATATATTTAAAAATACAACAGTGTTAGTAAGCTATCCGAAAGCAATTTATGTCAATGTATAGAGGGGTCTAACTAGCATTGTCCGACGGGTACGCCCGCAGTCGCGCGTTGCTTTACAAGCAAAATATACGAGCGCCCACTAAAATACGATACGATCCGGTCGCCTCCACTGACACCCTCTAACACACTATTTATATTCTGCACAGAATATTTCTCATTTTATCTACTAAGTATAAAAGCCGCAGCACCATACATTGCCTTTAAATTCTTTAAAATATACATTAGAAAAATCTACTTGTAATTTTTTCGGTTGTATATTTATAGAAAAACCCACAATTCTTTTCACGGTTAATAGTAGATAATTTATTTAAAAGACTTATTATCAAGTAATTATTTGTATAAATTGTAT